CACCGACTTTTATTTTATCCAATCAGGAAAAGGAAAAAGAACAGAAAAAACTTTTTTCGAGATGTTTCTGAGTACAGGGGGTAGATTATAGAAAGGGAAGGTGTTAGCACCATTTCTATCCGTGGTTTTCCACGGGCTCTTAGGTACTTGCTCATTTTGAAAACTACTTGTGTGTGCTTGTTTTTGAAAAGTTTTGTTTTACTTCGTATTAACCCTTGTTTCTGTCCTCAAGATTGTTACGAAGTTGTTTTTGAAAACTTTGTTTGGAAAGTGTTGGTGTGAAAAAGTTTTTGTTTGTTTGAGCAAGTATCTAGGAACTAATCTACCTACTCGAAAAAGTTCTGTTCGTTTTCCTTTTAGACAATGCTATCCCATTATTGAGAAATAGGTAGCATCGTCGTTGGAGTTTTTTAGGGACATTCGAAGGGACAAATACGATCACAAAAGCAATGTTAGGAAATGTTAGTAATCATCCTAAAGCCTTAAAGATCTTTTTCCGAGGCAACATCCGAATGGGTTATTTTAGATCTTTCGGGGCTAGAGGACAACCACTAACAAACCCTATACTTCATGACCGTTTACCAAAGGCAACCGGAGTGGAGTAAACCCTAGGAGTGAGCATGTGTGAGTGTAATTTTCAGTTAATTTATCTTTGCATATTTAGGGTTTTCTACTGTATTAATTTTCAGTTTGTCTTTCCATACAATCCTATTAACATACATCTAAGCAGTTTATAGTTTACAGAAATTAAAGCGAGAAAGTTAAAGTCCTAGCTATTACAGGGCTTTTCCAGATACATAATTATTTTGACCGAAAATAAAGATGCAAAATTGAAACCCTAATTACTATTACAAACTCGGAGCAGTTACAATAATAATAAAAAGGAAACTAAAAAATATGTGCGGCGAATTAAATGCGAGAATAATTAGCAAAACCTAAAAGATCTAATTAAAAAAATGTTTAGGTTAGTTTTTTGAGAAAAATTAGATTATGTACAAAATTAAACCTTAATTCTAATTATTTTTAATTGTGAAAAGAATTAAATTCCCCTAATTTTAATTTAATTAATTAATTAAAGAAATAGAATATTTTATGAAAAAATAATTTTTGATATTTTTGTGATTTTTGATTTAATAAAAAAAAACTGATTTTTGTAAAAGAAAATAATTAGAAATAAATAAAGAGAAAAGAGAAAAGAATTGAGCCTGTATTGTTGGACAGGGGGGGTGTTGCTGAATTGCTTAGGCCCAAAGAGCTGAGGCCTAGTCCCACACTTGATCCCATGTTGTATCAACCTTAGAGTGCACCATGGTCCTTCAATGCTTGAGGCGTTGGATCTGAATAGGCTGTGATCTATTGGCTGGATCAGTGGGGCGCATGATATGCATTTTGGATGATGGTGCACATGATCTGCAAAGAAGAGTTAAGAAAATAAAGAAAATTGCTGGGACCCGGGATCGAACCCAGGTCCTCCCACTCAATACCAAGCGCTTTTTACCATCCGAGCCATGTGTCTTGCTTGTTAATATAATGAAAACAAATGAGAATATATAAAAAAACAAGTGGATTAATGAATTAAGACAAAAACGTGTGCCAGCTATTTGAATGGCCCAATGATGATTGAACACATCATCATCTTCTTCCTCATCCGTCGTGTTAGGTATAAAACCTTTACCTACGGATAATTTACCATAGCTATAAATCTGTGAATTTCAAAAATCATCAAAACGCATGATAAATGAAATGTGAATACATGGATCCATTCGCCTTGAACCCACGAGCATCATGATACCCTTTTCATTGGTCAATTTAACCTGTGCAAGAAAACCCTAAAACAACCAAACAAACCCTAGCCATGGCACATATGCATACAGTCATCAAAACACAAAATCATGCAAACCAAAACATTCCAAATGTTAGTACAAACACAATGATATGTTTAGTAATGATTAATTATGCGTAAATTAAGAAATCAAATTCAAGTTTGGAGGTGTAAACCGTAGGTCTGTAACTCGCGATTCTGGACGTGAAAATGCTTGCATTGATTGAGACACGTTCTGGAGATGTCCAGGAGTTTATTGGTAGTGTTAGAATGGCTTGAATCACCCTCTAGGTCCAAGAACGATCCACCACTTTCTTGCAAAAAATTTAGTTTTGTTCTTGTATTCTCACGATTGTAATCCTTCTCCTTTTGGCTTGGGTATGTTCTATATATGTAGTAGAACTGATTAAGTTAACAAAAACAAATTAAATCTTTGTGAATCATGGAAATTGGATTTGATTTTGCTCTTGTATTATATCTTTCCAAAACAAGCATAATCATGCCAATTTTGCTTCAATCATCCCTTGCACAATTTGATATGATATGTCAGCCTAATTGGATTTGATTCCTACAAAAAATCAAATCAAAAATCAATCTTTTATATTTTTTGCAATTTATTTGATTTAATCTAACTTTTAATAAATCAAAATCAAAATAAAATAAATAAATAAGCAAATAATATACGGAGGCTGATTTAGGTCGTGGACCATGTCAAAAACAAGATACAATCGTGAAAAGCTAGGCCCATTTGACAAAAAATACAATTTTGAGCACATCTGACTTTTGGTAATTTTGTAAAAATGGTCAACTTTAACAAGGCATATCTCTTCCAATTTTAAACCTAGAGGGGTGTTCTTTGACTTTTTAGAAAGCTTAGGATGTCCCCTAAACAACCCTTTTGGTTTCATCTCAATTGGGTCTTCCATATTCATGTAAGAAGCTTTGATCCAAAAAGTGTTTTTGTTGACTTTTCAAAAGGACCTATAACGTAGAAATTCATATCTTTTGATGAGTGCATATTTTGAACTTGTGGGATGAAGATGAATTGTAAGAAATTACATCCTCTTCAAAATGAACCTTGGATGGAAAATTTCTGATAAAGTATGAAGAAGTTATGCCTGGTCAAATATTGGTTGACTTTTCATGTGAAACCCTAATTTAGCAACTTTTGGATTTTGATGAATTTGGGGGCATTCCTTGAGGAATCATGATCAAACCTTGATCAAATGATGTATATGTCTTCAAAATGTTGATGTTGACCAAAAATCTTGAAGTTTGACTATATGTGGGCCACAATTGACTTTTGACCTAATACAGTTGATTTTCAGGCATCTGGGCAATTGACTGAGCAAACTCCTTGTGCAAGGCATGAAACTTGACATGGATGATCTTGAGAACATATTGGGACCATGGAAGGCATTTGGGACCTTTGGAGTTCCCACACCATGATGAAAATGGAAACCCTAGTTTGAGGTACATTGCCTTATGAGAGAGTTTGTCTGGTCAACTCTTGGGCATCCTTGAACAAGTTGAGGACCTTAATGGACATGTGTTGAGTAAAATGAGAGTGCAAATTTTAGGGTACAACAATCTCTACAAGTGAGGAGTGTATATATATATATATATATATATATATATATATATATATATATATATATATATATATATATATATATATATATATATATATATATATATTGTAGAACTAATAAACTACTTTCTTAAAACTATTTTGTTTTTCTTATTTACATTTTTATTATATTTTGTTAAACTTATATATTTATCTTTAACTATTTTTATTATTTTTCTTTTTTACAACTAAATTTAAATTTATTTTATTTTATTTGAATTTGAAAACTAAACCGATGATAATTCTGCAATTCATACCAATATCAATGCGAACGTACGGGTAACACACTATTAATCTTATGAATATACGGGTAATTATGTCAAAATTCATGTGAATGTATGGATAACATATCAAGTAACATATCAGTACCTAACTCACAGGTAATCATACCAAAATTTTTGCGAACCCACGAGTTTTTACATGTTTTGTATAATTTAAAAAAAATATAAATAATGTATGACTCTAAATATAAAAAAAATTAATTTTTTTTAAAATTACTTATTTTCTAATATTTATATTTTGAAATTATATTTCATTTAAGATATAATTTTTTAAAGATAAGATATAAATAATTTAACTATATATTATTCATGTAAAACAATTTTTGTGTCAAAATTTTGTTTTTATTATATATATATATATATATATATATATATATATATATATATATATATATATATATATATATATATATATATATATATATATATATATATATATATATATATATATATATATATATATATATATATATATATATATATATATATATATATATATATATATATATATATATATATATATATATATATATATATATATATATTATTTTTTTTAAAATAGTTAATTAATTTGATAATTTAATTTAATTTTTTTATTTATATTTATTATATTTTAAAAATAAAAACGTGTAAACCACACTACACCAATATCCAGACGCACGGGTATCATACCGATTGTTATAGCAAGAAAATTCCAAAACAAATTCACAAAGTCTCATCCTTCAACAAGACCAACTACAACTTTTTTTTCACTTCTCTTGATTCTGTCCATTTATGTATCAAAAACTGTTATGCTGCTGCAAGTTTCACTAAAGTAGAGTTAAACAATTTTTTACACCAATAAACATGAAACTAATTCCTTGTCAAAAATGTCATTTTCACAGCTCAAAAATCCCTCTCAAAATCTCAATTCTCTTCTATATCAGAATTTTTTTTATAACAGTAGGGGAAAGAAGTTAGAGAAGAAATTTAGGTGAACATTCCAGTAGCCATCCGTGGTACCCATGTGACATGTATAACTTGAATAGGTCCACGTGGATTATCTCAATTTACATGTTATATTGAATAAATTATTATATTAACCATTCCCTAGAATAAATAAATAAATTTACCCAACATTTACTTGTATTATTTTCTTCCTCCTTGCAAAAATCCACTTCTCTTCTTACCGAGATTCATCTTTGAGCTCAATCGATTTCTGGTGAGTTATTATTTCGCTTCGAATCTGAAATCTTGTTCGATAATTTTAGAAGATTCAAGGAAAGCTATGCTGGCAGCTATTAGGAGATTCAACACAGTGGCAAAACAATCTGCACGTCTAACGAAATTCTCTCTTCAACCCCCAAAATATGTGAGCTTCTTCTCTCTTCAACATATGTTAGGTTGTAATAGATAGAGAAGTCTTTTGGAAAAATCAAATCAATATAAATTATCAATTAAGACAAGTGTTGAACACCAACATGTCTGTAGAAACCTATATTTGGGTTGAAATCTTAATTGGTCTTAAGTTTGGTAATTAAACTTGATGGAAATGTTATTTCATCTATTGTTTTTTGTTTACATCCTTCAGCATTATTGTTTCAGGTAGAAGTAGAATTTGCCAATGGTAGTGTATTCAAGCTGTCTGCCGAATTTCTCAGAATAAATAGTCCGGCAGTTGATGGAAAAATCCGATCAATTGGAGGTGAAAAGGTAACTTCATTATTTCAAATTGATTTGAATTCGAGATCAATTGATTCGTTTTTAATGATACTTCCTTTATTGGTGATTCTGTTAATCTAGGTGATATCTGGAAGACGCCGTGTGGGAATTATGTCTGCTGAGCCTGTAGGAAACTATGGGGTAAGGTACTACAATTTCAGACAATTAGAAATAAAATTCTTTGCTTATATCTAATAGTCTCTCTCGACTAAAATCTGATTGTTTAATCGGCTGATCCAGACTCAATTTTGATGACTTGCATAAAACTGGTATTTATTCCTGGGATTATTTCTACCATCTAGGAAGCAACAAGTTTACCCTTATGAGAAATTACATTCAAACACTGAAGAAATACGGACTTAGTCGAGATCCACGAGGAAGAAAATGATGCAAACTTCTGTTTGACTACACAAACTAGTTTCAGATGTGTTGGCAGTTTTCATGCAAATAGTCATATGTTAGCTGCAAGAGTGCTATAAAAAACTGCTCTATTATAATAACCCTTATAATTCTCGTTCTCTATGTTCGAGCATCTGTCAGAACATGTATAACCCCGTATGAATCAGTTTATGTAGTATGATTCAGACTGGTTGTAGTAAGATTCAAACCTCAAATTTTTAGTTACACAAAACTGCTCAGAATCAGTCTCTGTAATCAGATTGGTTCTGTATGCTAACAATACCAGTGTTATCCAAATCACTGTGAATCCTATTTTCCATGAACACACCAAACATATTGAAGTTGATTGTCACTCAATCAATGACGCATATGATGACAGACTAATATCACTTCCTCATGTTAGTACTCAGTTGCAGGTTGCAGATATTCTTGCGGAGACTATTTCACATCCACATCATCAATTTATTGTTAGCAAATTGATGCTCATTGACCAGCAGCATCAATTTGAGGGGGATGTTAATAGGAATTAGTTTGTTCCTAGATTAAGGGTTTGTTCCTAGAATAAGGGAAACAAATTAGAAATTTATTTGTTCTCATTAAATGTAATTAATTAGTGTAATTACCTGTATAACCTTGTAACATCTATATTTACAAGAAATAATAATGAGAGAGGTATCAAGCCAAGAATTTTTTATATCGACAACACTCAAAGTTTTACATGTTTTAGTCGAAGTTCATTCAAGAATGTAGGTGTTGAAATATGCTATGTTGTTAGTATGTCGAATTAGGCCAGTATGTTGGCCCAAAAATTGCTTTAGTTAACTTGTTATTTAAGTTAGTTCAGTAGTCTATAAATATAATAGTTCTCTCATGTTGTTGAGATAACATTGGTTGTTGTTATTCACTTGTAATCCATGAATCCTAATTGAGAAAGTGAATATAAAAACAATTATAACCAATTCGAATTTCTTATGTTTGTTCAAAAAACTCAATCTTTCTAATAGTTTTAGTTTGTTCTTGACGGTACTCGTGCTCGTTACAACATGTTAGATTAGAGAGAATGGTAGAGTAGATTTTAATTTCTAATTAATTGTTTTTCATTACTGCAAAATCCATCACAACATTGCAGTTGTAGTATTTGATAAAAGACCTGCTACTGCTTGATTGTACAATGAGACGTTAACACATTCATATTTAGTATTAGTAATATGTTGTATTCTTCTTATACTAGGTATAAAATCAGTTATTTAGCAAGACATCATAGATCAAGATTACAGAGTTTGAGTAATTCCCTTTAGTTTAACTTAGAAGTTGTCATTGTAATCCAAAAGCCCGTGATGACAGCCACATTTGTCATGTGGTTCTCATGAAATGCATCTGAGACAGCCACGACAGTGTTGCACGCTACATTTGGCCAGTTGCCACTCCCCATGGTACGACCATGATCACCACGCAATAGCCCGGGTTGGAGGTTACTGTTATATGAGGATTCTATGGCTAATAAGGCATGGTATGTAACAGAATGTTGTTAAAGTATTTTGATTGCAAGTTTTTGAATCGGCATTTGAGGTCGAACTTTGATATATAATGATTAATTTGTATGATTTACCAAATAGTTGGAAAAAAAAATCATACTTAACTGTCAAACTATATTACATTTTACAAATATGTTCTTAAGCGTGTGACATTCAAAACACCCTTACAATTAAACTATTTTCTAATGTGGGTTCCAATCACCCAAACCATCTAACTGTTTAACACCAGTTCTGACACTAAAACCTGGTGTTTCCCTCTCTTTTAGCTTTGCTTCAAGCACTTCTAGAGAATCCGAAACCTCAGCTCGGTAGACATAGGATTTTGATACAGTCATAAAGAAGATGAAGTTCAAGACATTTAGTATAGCCAAAAATGCGTAGTAATAATCAAGATGAGAAGCATTAAGGTTGTTCAAAATCCACCCTTGTCGACTATGTTTCTTGGTGATGTGTGAAACTGTTGAGAGAAGAGAAACACTGAGAAAACTACCAATGCCAGTGGTAGTTAAGGAATATGAAGCTCCAAGGCTCTTCATGCTTTCTGGTGCTTGGTCATAGAAATACTCGATTTTCGCACCTTCTAAGAGTGCTTCAGCTATTCCCATGAGTACAAACTGAGGAGCCAAAACAAATATGCTTAATGGAACCTGTCCTCCGTTTTCGATTACTCCATATTCTTTGGCCACACAAAGTCTATGTTTTTCGGCCATGTATGCAACTATCATGATCACTATATGGATTATGAATCCTATGCTCATTCTTTGGAGGAGTGTAATACCTCTTGGATTCTTAGTCAACTTCTGCATAATCCTGACGAAGTAACGTTCGTAGAGTATATACGTGATAATCATCGTCAAAATTGTGATTGCGTTTAAGCTTGATGGAGGAATGTTGAAGTTTCCAATGGCTCTGTCAAGTGTAGTTCCTTGCTTAACAAAAAGTGTATTCATCTGAGCTATCATTGCACTTGGAATGAATGTTGCAACCCAAATGGGGATTAAGGTGAGGATTTGTTTGGTTTCCTCTACTTGTGTTATTGGACATATCTTCCACTCATTACTAGTACTTGAACCAGTGTCCACACAAGCCTTATTAAGGAACCTGCACATGCATTTGTAAATCAGCGTTGATAAACATACACCCCTTTTTCATACACATGCTAGACACAATTTAGTCGAGCAGATGATTAGTTCAATTCACGTTGTAAAATGTGGTTTATTCATGTAGTTGAATTAACCACAATCTTTACTTTGTATTGAAATAATCATCAGCTCGGTTGAATTAGCCACATTTTGGCACATAATTAACCTGACCTTGAACCCTAAATTGTCGCACGAGTGTACGAAAAGGGGTGTCCAAGAAACACTTTCCTTTATAAATACAACAATAAACATTTCATAATAAAACTAGACATCAAATGTATGAGAAAGTAGGCAAGAACTTATACCTAAATGTTGTAGTCGGATCGATCTTGAATTTCCCTTTCTTGGTATACTCTTCCAAACTAAGCTCATACAGTTCTTTAGGATCTTGAGGAACAATCACACTCCATTTCCTTATAGCTGCCACAATGACCTTAGCAATACTAATAATAGGACTCCCTGAGATCAACTTATGTCTATAGAAAGGCGTCCCTGCCAAGAATGTGATGATTGATATTGCAAACCCAATAGTTTGAAGAGCATAACCAAGAGACCAACTCACATTATCTTGTATATAAACTATAATTGTGAATGCAAATAGTGACCCCATGACAATGCATGACATCCACCAGTTGAAGAATGAGAGCTTTAGTCCTTTCTCTTTAGGGTAAAAATCATCAAACTGGTCAGCACCAATGGTGGAAATGTTCGGTTTAGTTCCACCTGTTCCCACTGCTATAACATATAGTGCGACATAGAACACGACTAGCTGTAATGTGGAAGCTTCTTCACATTTTGTGACGTCCATTTCATGACACTTTGGTGGCTTTAAGCACGAAAGCGTAACTGATAGTGTAAGTAGACACATACCCTACAAAATCACCAAATTGCATTATAGTTATTTAAATTCAAACCGATCTATATATTTTCTTATTGATTTGGACATCAGATTCTCTTGAAACCGAACCAGACCAATCTGCAAACACACATAGAATAAGAGAAATAAGGTGAAATACGTACCGATAAATATATAAGAGATGAAATAACAAAAGTCCAGTAGCGTCCAAGGTGAACATCGGCAACATAAGCACCTAATATGGGAGTGATGAAAACAGTGCCAACCCAATTGTTGACAATGTTGGAAGAGGTAACAGTTCCTTGGTGAAGCTTCTTTGTAAGATATAGGATCAAGTTTGATGATATTCCATAGTAAGCTACTCTTTCAAATATCCCATACACTGCATAACAAATGTAAATAATTACTAAGAATTCACTCATACAACTCTGAGATCTCAGATTCTAACCTGAATAATAGTGACTAAACAACTAGATGGTATGTGCGTTCTACCTAGAGACAATATAGAAAGTTTTATTTCTCCTCAGTTCTTGAAACTAGATCTCCTTATGAAGTTCTACTTGGAGTCTTGTTTGATCTCGTCTCTCTAACAACTTTTAGATGTCTATGTTATGCTACTACTTGAACTTCACAATTTTGATCCAAGAGAAAATAAATGTGTTTTCCCTTATTACAAAAAAGGAATGAAAAGTTACATTGTTCTTGATATTCATTCTAGAAACAACATCATTTACTAAAAATATGGATTGTTATGATTTTGAATACCCTTATACCATAATAACAATAAATGTGGAGGCACATAACCAATTCAAAACTCCTACACATGTTCTTGTAATTTCTGAACCTGAGATTCATGACCAATTCCAACCTACCTTAACCAACCAAGTCTTACCCACAATAGAAGAAACAAATGCATAACCACAGATTGACCTTATTCCTTAAAGAACTTGAAGAAGGCCTAAAACTATCCCTATTTATCTTTATGAATATGTTCGTCATTCACCATAACTTTTTTATACCCTATCACCTCACATGTCAACTATACTCATATTTCCCAACCCACCTCAAATATTCTTTATCAATTACCTTATAGATAAAACCAACCTTATGGTTGTTGGTATATTAAATGGAGCATATGTAAAAATAGATGTTAAACACTTTATAAGTTAGAAGATCCATAAACTCAATGCCTTAAAATTTTAAGTTAATATGTAGTGTCCAACTCATTTTAAAGTGATTGTTTAAAGTCCAATGTGATGATCTTTGGATCCTCATGACCCAACTGTGGTATCAGAGCTTGGTTCAACTATGTCTCCTTGTATCAAAAGTTTTCATGACAAGAGTGTTCAGGTGACGTGTTTCGTCGATGCCATCTAACAACGGTACAAGTAGATATGAATGAAAAAGCTTATATTTGAGGAGCAGAATACCCATAAGAATGGATGTACTCACACTT